CAACCACTTCCCCTCAGCACTAAGCCACCAAAACTGTTCTCCTCTATTTAGAATTATTTGAAAAGCACCTACGTCCTAAATGAGTATTAAATGAAATCTTAAAAAGACCCCATCTGAACAACCTAATCTGTAACAAGAGGTGTAAAAAATCAAATCTGTGAGCAAACTCTACAACAAACTGAGACAGTACAAGAAAGCTCAGCTCAAATGCGTAAAAACAACCTCCACAAAACCGCAAACCCTTAGTAAGTCCAAATCCAGAGCTAAATTTCTACTCCTAAAACTTAATCGTGATTAACCTCTGCTCGCCTCAACAACCTTTTTATCATAGTAAATTCCTGACGACAGTGCAAGAGTTGGTATCACTTCTTAGCTAAGATCAGCCTTAATCGAAGTAGAGAAATATGCTGAGAATGAATTAGCGAGAAGGCAAAAATATCACAAATATACCAGCAAAAAGACAGAAAAAACTGTTTATGAAGCACTATGACATAACGCAGAAATAGAATGAAAAACCAACAGTAAAACCAAAATCTTAAACAGTCATGCATAGTTCGAAGACAAAGCAAATCTACAACCGCAGTACTTCGTGCCGGTGAACACAATCATTTACAAGCACAACCAGCACCGAAAAAAGGCGCAGAAACTTCCATTCTACAGAAAGTGCCTTTTTTTAGAAAGATAACAACTTTTTGACCTAAAAGCGCACGTGCCATAAAAACCTTTATCAATACGCGTCTTTCCTAAAAAAAATAATTTGCTGCATACAAGCAAAACTTCCGGACCCAAAGTTTAACCACAGGAACCGACAAAAACAACTTTTGTAGCAATTTCCTGTAATAAAACCTGAACTTTACACAACCCTCAAACTTACAAAGTGCGACTATTTGAAAAATATTCAGAAAAAATTGAAATATAGTTTTGTAAAGTACATTTTTTATTACACTTATGCGTCACCAAAAACTTCTTTGTTTAGTTGAAATGCTTCAATTAGTTCCAAATAACCCTAATCCTGTTGCTTGAAAAACGCTATTTCTGATAAAAACGCGGAAAATAAAAAACGCTTTATCATTCCTTCGTTTGCGTGTAGAAAATTTGCCTAAAACCACAGCACAATCTTTTAAAACCGAGTCCATACCCTTCTGTCCTTATTTAACGCCACTTACGCTCCCAAAACTGCACCTGAAGATGTTGAAAAATACATCTTAAAATGCTACTCACGGCATTTTTCCCACTACTACGTATGTCACTCGAAAAAAAATTCAACTGGGACTACTCGTCAAAAGCGTTAAAGAAACTATTAACCCTTGATACACATAGTTAAAACTCCTACAGTAGATTAAATTGACCGTAAATTTGCCCTGAGTGCAGAATTTTTGAACCGTTAACGTTTTGAGCTCTGATCCATCCTTAGGCAGTGAAGTTACCAAAATCTCTCGGCCGATGAGTTATTTAATAAAACAAGATTCTCTAAATAAAAATCGGCGCCCCACCGTCCTGCTTCGTTAGCTTTAAAAAGCAAGAATAATTGCAGTCAGTCAGCCATCCAGCAACATGAGTAAGCAGAAACGCACTTAAATCCCTAATCTTCTCTCCTTACGATTGATCTCTTTTTTGATCAGTTTTTTGTAAACATTTTTTCTTCCTATGCTTCCAATTCTAAGATCATAAACGAAAGATAGTGAGATGAAAAGATATAAAAATCCATGCTTTATGTAAACAAGACGGAAAAATACTCACTGAGATATTGCAGTAGTAATTTGGATGCTGGATTTTGTAAAACTAGTAGCCATCAGTTAAAGACTCAAAAGTAATGAGCATTAAGGACACCACGGTGAAGGAATCAAGTTTCGTATTTCAAGGTTTTAAACAACTTTAATTAACGAGTTTTGAATTATAAGGTAGCTGCAAAAATTACTAACGTGATTTCCTAATTTTTCCCGATTTATCACAGCTGATTTATAACATAATCCTTTTAATCTACTTTCATACTGAAATTTTCCTGACCTCCATTAATAATTTCAAAATTAAAAACAAAAGACAAAACCATTTTTGTATACTAAATGGAGGAAAGAAGACGTAAGCTATTAATAGGTCCTCTGTCTTTTCCTTACCTCAAAAAACTATAGTTGAAGAACACAACCTATAACGACATGACTTCTGAAAATAGTAGCCATGATGCACAATTACAAGAGTCAGCGGTCGATATCTTTCGTGAAAGAGCCGGTGTTTTAGAATAACTAATTAGTCCTATGCTATGCAAGGGAACTAGAGTTATAAGCGTGACATAGACGATAAAAAGAGCAATAGTTTATGTGAGAAATCTCATTTTACAAAATAAAATAAGTCAGAAGTCACAGCAACTCGGGTTTGAAAGCTAGGAGAAACTTACAGAAGCAGAAGGCAAATTGTAGTGTATAAAACAGTAACACAAGGCTGCAAAAAAATGTTCGAATAGATAACCTTAAAGATTATAGAGAATTCAATGATGAGGTGACAGTATGAACACGTCTGAAACCATTGTGAGATCAAGCGTCATCCAAAAGATCCATAAAAGACCAAGGTTCGTCGACTGTGACAGCTTCGCTGAAAACTGTCCGATGTGACTGACTAGTTATATAAATAACAAACTACCACCAAATTCTCAATCAGTCTCAATAAGTAGGATTATGAGACAAGAACAACTTTCAACAAAACTTCATATTACAGTAAACTAACACAAATTGCCGTTTTGCGAAATCCAGTGCAGATGCTTCAGCAGTATGCTTTTTAATAGTTTTAGGACATCTAACTACTACCCGGGACGGAAGAGAAACTTCGGAGATTACTCGCCCCTTAATGGCGAATAAATCAACCTAAATCACACAGGCAAGAATAAAAAGATAACCTACAAACAAGACACAGTGGCAAGCAATATACCTTAAGTACTCGCTAATGATCTAACAATGATTTGCCAACCTTACGCGAGTTAAAAACTGATAGAAAGCAGATTGTTTACCAGAAACCACTGGCAAGTACTAAAGAATAAATTAGTTTAACAATCGTTAGAAAAAACTAACGCACCTCTTTTCTTTCTATTTCAGAAGTCTCAGCGTGGCAACTTGAAGAGGACTGCTGCGGGGTATTTAAAGTATCATTTTGTACTGAAGGTGCGTATGACACATTCGTATCCACTAAAACTCGTTCACCATGATAACCGAAAAAAGACAAACGACCACCCAAAAGCTGTTTTCTGAAAGAAAAAAGGCATCTTAAAAAACAGAAACGACAAAGATGTCTTCCCCTATATATCCAAAAACTACACCACACGTAAAGAAAGAAATCCACTTTCACCTGAAACAAAAAGTTTAGCAAAACCACTAAGCTTAAAACTATTACGGTAACCCTCAAAACCTGTTTCCGAGGTAAGCTGCAGCTGATAACCCTACTATATATTCTTGTGAGCTAGATTAGGCGACACTTCAAATGACAGAATAAAATAACCTGTTTGAGACAACTTACCTTGTGATACCAAGCCGCTTTATCGAACACCCAACAGATAAGTGGTGCCGAAACGCACTGTGACAATTTGTCCTGTACTTACAAATATTACAAGAATAAGTCTCGCTCCAGTGTCCCTCACTATCATTTGGGTCTTCATAACATTCAAAACAATAAGAATTTTCTTCTTGCGGCCATAAGTGGAACCCCTAAAAACCGTGACAGCATTGATGAAAACTGTGCAATGTTATACCGACCACGAGGAGTAATAAACAGCTAATTCTGTCTCAGTAATCATACAGGCAAGAATAGCCGAATGATTTTACTAGACAGCAATTGAACGCACCTTCCGCCGTGATCGTTTCATGTAGTTTTTCCTTTCCCACTTTGGGTTTATTTTTGAATGCTCCTTCTTATGATTAGTTTTATCAAACTTGCTTAGAAATTTTAAAGCACACTGTTCACACTTGTAGTTCCTTCCTGCAAATTTTGATACAAAGCCTGAACAATACTTATCTCTTAACTTCTCTAGTCAAGGAAAAGTACAACTCATAGCAAGAATGAACTGCTTAAAAAACCTTTCAGGTGAGCAATAGCGTGAGAAGCGTAGTTTCGCTCTATTAAAACTTCATTTCCCTTAGGACGAGCAGCAGTGAAAATAGTTAAGCAGAATGGACAGAGAAGAGCAGTAGTGTTGGAGTGGAATCTCACAAAATGATCAAGAAAATGAGTTCGAACAGAAGTCCGGTATCTACATCTTTTACAATGATAAGGCGCATCCGGACCATCATGAACTAAATGGCGTGCCTGAAGTAATACTTCCTATATCAGTCACAAAGAAATAAGTATGAAACTAATATGCTGACCTTAATTGAACTTAAGACCTTCCTTTCAGTTTCTAACAAATAAGCTATTCCTAGACCTTTTCTGCAACAGTAAAACTCATACTACTATTCGTCCTATCTGTTAGTACATTGTTACCTCAGATGACGCGAAAAAGTCCCACCTTGTCTACAACGACTTCACAAATTAAGCATGTTGACGTCGAGAAGTTCTGTCCATGTACATCCTTGTAGTGCTGATGAAACTGATGAGGACTTGAGAAAATGCAAAAGCACTGTGAACACATGCATAACTTTTCCAAGTCCGAAACCGGACTTTCCAGCCCGAATGGTCGACTAGTAACCAAATGTGACCATAAGTGGAACATCAAGCTGATGTTATTGGAAAGTATACGCTTACAACTGCCAAACGTACACTACAAAATCCGATTAGTAAAAAAAAATTAAGCAAAGTAATAACTAACGTCCATCTTATACAGTACCTTAAAACTATTATTAAGCTGAGTTGCGTCAAACGGAGGTGCATCTCGATCATAACTTTCACAACAAAAGTCCAGAAGATCATAATCAGGTGACGAGGTCAAGTTGTGAAAAGAAGCTTTCAATGGCCTACGGATACCCAGTGAACTTCCTTCCGTCCTTGTAAAGCTATATGACTTCCCACCTAGTTTTGCATTTTCTACAGTAGCCTAAAAATGACCGTACTCAACTCAAAAAAAAAGCAAAAAAAAAGTAAAATAAAATAAATTAACAAGGCAACAATTAAACCACTTGAATAAGGCTCAGAAAAAACTTAAAGGCAACCACAATTACTTGAACTCAAAGGCATAAACTACAGTGAATTCCACAATTTAGTATTCAAAATTGTTAAACTTAACAGCTGGAAATCAATGTTCAAGTTACCTCATTATCTACTCCACTCAAATAATTATTCTGTGAGTCAAAGTCACCACTGCTGGTAGTGCTAGCAAGAACACTATGCTCTGACGTCGAGGGCAGAAAAAGACCAGGATCCAAAGGTCGTTCTGCACTGATCGTAATGCTGACACCAGCAGCAGGCAACTGGAAACTACTTCCTTCATCCTCACTATCACTGAGAACTACCACCTCAGTATTCGCAACAGAACTTAAAGCCTGCATACTAGGAACATGGCAATCCTAGCTTGCCTGAAACAAAGCAAAGTGCTTAAAGAAAAGAACTTCCCCACCTAATGAGCAGAAGCGCCACAATCTCGACCACCCCCTCAAAACTAACTCACCCTCTGTACATGCAAACAGGCTTGTCCATTCAATCATCGTTAACACGATAAATAAGCAACAAGGTTAAAGATAACTCGGGCCAAAATTAAAATGTAACTTAATATGCTGGCTTGAAAGTCTCTGAATCCAATTCAAAACCAACTCGGAAGAAAATAAAATTGACCAACTAGTTACTCCATGCCCTCACCAATATAACCTCTCATCTTCACAGGCGCTTATCAACCATTCTTCCGGAAAAAAATGCTTCAACTTAAAACACCTTTTTTGCTTGCTTCCAGCCCCAAAGTTGGTGTACTCTTCTTCCAGCCACATGATTTTTTGTCATTTGAAAAAGCGGCCGTCATAAACTTTCTAGCGAGCACAGAGGTTGGCAGACTGCTTCCTCGCAAAACCTTTCTCACGAAATTCGGATTAATTTTGAAACGAGGAAAGGCTTTTCAAATTTGTCAAGTACTCCCACTGTAAGATTTCTCTTGATAGCCGTTCACCCAAAAATATCTCGTCGAGAGCTCTAACATATAACAAAAGTATCGAAAACTTTCACAGACCCCAAACGCCTACGAACCAAAAGCTTCCGCTTCTAAAAAACTGTATACAAGGTCTACGACAAAACGCCGAGATCTCAAGGACAGTCCCCTCCCTGCACCACTACAAAGATATTACACAAGAAAATTTCTTTTGCAGAAAAAACTCCTCTACCTACAAACGGACAAGGAGGATGCCGTTTTGTACTCAATTAGGGTGAAGCCAGGTTTTTTTTTCCCCAAGAATGGCAAAATAAATCAAAACGGTGCTGGAGCATTTCATGAAGTAATCTAATAAACGACTAAGGAAAACCGAACCTCCATTCAAAAGATCCTAAACCCTATGAGACTTCGCCGAGGGTCACAACTGCCGCTGTAATGGGCACTCCTTTTCCTGCTCTGACACTCTACAGCTTTTTCATCCTCAATATTTTTCCACAAAATTCCGCCCCAAACAGAGGCCCTAACCTACGCTGATAAACATGCAAACTTTTCACTACACTCCAGAAAATCAGTGCCCATGGCCTACCACTTTTCAAGAATAATAAAAAAAACCTAAAACACAACAGTAAAAAGCCTCCTCAGAGCTTTTTCAGTCCATAAATCTGCAAGCAACACGTTCCCTAGCTTATGTGGAACTTGCTCGCGATGTGAACTGTATACAGCGAACAGCAAACGACCTCGAGACAACTTACTGCTCAAAAGATCTCCTACCAAATCTTCAATGGAATGTAAAGTAAATAAAAAGTGGATTAAGAAGAATACTTCCAAGTAAAAAAGAAACAAAGTTCTAAAGCAAAGACTCTAATAGCACAAGACAAGATGGTAGGTATCTGCTCTACCATCGTTCAAGCGTCACGTTTTTTTACCTTTTTAAACAGTAATGCTCATGGGTGTAGAGCATTTTTTTCCTTTTCAGGATCTAGGCCTTCATCCTTCACTGACATCAACTGTGTTTGATTTAATATTGCAAATAGAAAACCTCGACTGATAAGTTAAATATATACACCACCTTACACATATATATA